TAATTGTGAAACAATTCTAACTCCATATTCATGCTCTTATTTTGAAGATATTTATGTTGCAGCTCCATTTCCCCTGGTCATATTCAACATGGTTGGATTTAACACTTTAGCGTTAGCTCCTCCTAAATACCCGGTTGGGATAGTGCTTTCGCATTCAGTTAAATACCATGTTGATGTAGTGCTTTGGGTGCTTTAGGGTTAGCGCTGCTAGCTTTCCAGTTAGCTTTAGGGAGATGCAGCATGTGGAAAACTGATCAGAGGAAACCAGAGCTGAACTTTTAAACCTCCAAGCTTCATGTCTGGTTGAAGCTTTGACCCGGTTGGGTGATCCAACAGGATCCAGACTGGTTCTGGAGCAGATAAAGCAGGAAAACATGAAGTTTCTGGAATGTGCTCCCCAAAGCCCAACATTCACCTCAGTGAATATCTGTAGATTTTCCTTAAAGACGCTAAAACAGAAACTGGATAGATTTCTTAATTTCTCAGTTTTTGCTTAATCACAAACTGTTAATTGACTGGATACTCATTTAGAGTTCTGGTTCTGGTTTTGGTCAGAGCCTGAGGCGTCAGCGGTTTACTGAGCATCTAAAGGTGTTTGGATTCCTTGAAGACTTGCATCAGCAAACAGATTTCCGACATTGTGTTACAGAGCTCAGTAAACATGTTGGACCTGGAGCACATGCGGGCCGCCGGTCCGATGAAGAGGAGGCAGCTGCAGGATCACATGCGGGCCAGAGTCATGACATCAGCGTCTATTCGTGGCTCACAGCAACCCGACCCGTCAGCGCTGCTCATGAGAAACAGATCAACACCTAATGTCACAACACCCTCAGGCTTCATCCAAGCACCCAGGAATGCACACAATGGCGTAACCATGGGAACCGAGATGCGCTCTGCACACAAGTCCCAGGTTCTGGAGTCAACAGCAGCCTTAAAGGTCGCCTAAGGGTCATTTAAAGGTCACTCAAAGGTCACCTAAAGGTCACCGACTCTGCTGATATATTCTGACATCGCAGAGACCCAAACAGGATGCTGGGAAACATCCAGACATGTGGCCGTCAGGCAGCAGCGTTTGGCCGCCGAGGCCTCCAGGTTCCCTCAGACGACCTTCAGGGGCCGCCGGCGGAGACGTGTGCATCTGTTGAAACCCGTGATGTCAGCGTTCCAGTCCTGCCTGACGAACCATGGACCAGGAGTCAGCAGAGTTACGCTGTGATTACACGTGTGAGCAAGAAATCAAAGGTGAAACCACAACAAACCAAACTAACGAGGGCAATGCTAAACAAGAGAAACCATGAAAAACCAAACGACACTAAACACCAGGAGGCCGATTACAGGACCCGTTAAATACAACCTGCAGACTCAGCAGATCTAAACCAGTCAGGAGAAACAAATTCCCCAACCTGGACCAGGTTGTTCCTTCATGGAGGAGGACAGTTTGACTGTCAGGTCTGAGTTTTCTGGACCTGGAGGAATCACTGGGTATTTCCCACCTCATGGTCCAGTAGACCCGGTTCTATTGGATCGCTCAGCACAACTTCCTTCTTCACCAAATGGAAACAAAATGGAGGCATCGGATTTTAGCAGTTGGAGGATTTCTCTTCAGTTTTTGGCCAAAGACCAGGAGCCATTTCTGCTGCTAACGCGAGGCTAGCATGTTAGCTTTGGTTGTATTTACCAAATACAACCTACCCAGAATGCCCTGCACTGTACTCCACTTCCTGCTTCTGGAGCAGGAAGTGGACACATTCAAAATGAACCAGAGTTGAATTCTCCATATCTGGTTCTAGTTCTGGTTCTGGTAGGTCAGGTTGATCCAACAGCAGATCTGTGTCATGGTGCCAAACCTTCAGTGATTATAAACTACCAGCAGGATTTAAAGTCTGGATGAGTTTCTCTGATCTGAGACATTAGAAATGTTCTGCAGCTGGTAGAAGGCCCACTTTGGAACCGTCTTTATGTGGCTCTGGAGGCTCAGGTCAGAGGTCAGAGGTCAGCCTGATCTCTGGTTTACAGCTGGAACAACTGACTCTAGATCTATAACTCTAGACCGATAGGTCTAGATCGTTCCCCTTTAGGTCCAAAGCTAATAACTCCGGTTAACTTTTAGTTTGATGGGTTCAGGTCAGCCTGAAGGTTCTCCAGGGTTTCCAGGTCCGGTTCTGATAGGTTCTGTAATCGTGTTTAAACTGTATAGAAACATCAGTCTCTCATTCTGCTCCTGCTTTCTGTAGATCGGTGACCTGAACAAGCGAATGTCGGCCATTGAGACGCTGCTGAGCTGCTTGGAGCAGAAAGTGACGTCGGCTAACAGGAAGGTAAACTCTTGTTGCCTGGAAACCGGCTTTAAACAATCAATGCGCAGCTATAAATGCCAGGCCTCACTGTCGGCACACTGCTGGTTCCTGTTTGGTTGTTAAATGTTAGAGTAATGAAATTTTCTTAATGGAAAATGTTTAAAATTGTGAAAGAAGTGTCTGTGCTGCCCCCTGGTGGCCATTCACAGCAGCAGCAGCTGGTCTGCTCAGACTCCGTCTCCATGATCCTTCCTGCTGGAGACGCTTCATGGTGTCTGCTTCTAATCATGACACATTCTCTAAAATTGAAGCTCAAACGATCTGAACTCGTCTGGTTTAACTTCAAACTGAACATCTAAAGGTTCTGCTCGGGTTCTCTGCTGCGGTTCTGATCCGATTAACATGCAGAAAACATCTGGATTTAAAACCTCTGCAGATTAATAATCTGTCTCCACCTAGTTCTCACCTCCTCTTAATGGAAATCATGAAAAATTAAATTCAGGTGTTAATACTGATGGTTTCAGTGTAAATATAAAAACTTTATGTTTTATTAAATAGTGACTTCAGTTCTGGAGGTTCAGACTTTATGATAAAGAGTCTGGACTTAAAGTGTCTGCATCCAGCTGCTTTAACTTCATTTAGTTACTTTAAGTTATTTTATTTTACATTATTCATTTTTTATTTTATTTTTTACCTTATTTCATGTTTTATTTAGTTAATTTACTTTTCTTTTCTATTATTAATTTAATTATTTTTATTTTATTGATGTATTTCATTTATTTTAATCTAATTTATTTTTTACTTTACATAATTCCAGGTTTTAAATTTCATTTTTATTTAAATATTGTTTAATTAACCATTTCATGCATGAATTATGATCCTGTCAGGATTTTTTTCCGTTTTTTTTTTCTTTTGATTTTCTTAAGGCATATAAAAAGGTAGGGGAAAAAATGTTGTAAAAAAATGTTTTTTTTATGAAATTTTTTTTAGGTGGTCAATTGTAATTTTCTCCAAATACAAAGTTGTTTTTTTAGAAAAATACATCAGAAGTGTTGTTCTTTAGGGGTTATCTGATGTCACCATATTGTTTTACCTGCAAGAGTCGTCTGCAGTAGCAGGAGGAACCGGGTCGGCCATATTGGACTTAACAAAATAATGTCTTGCATCTGCAGCTGATGGCCAGTAGTTGATGGTGGATCCTATGATGCATTAGTGTCCACTTTGCATTTATAACATAAAAATCCACAAGAAACTCAAGAAAATGGCTTTTAGACAGCTGTCCACTGTAGTGCCCACTATGCATGAAAGGGTTAATTGGTTGTATTTTTTTTTATTGCTGTTTGTGCAGAATGTGACTGAAACACGTTTTATAGATTATTTTTGTAATGATTAATCATTAAATGCTGTATTTTTATTTATATAAAATCAGTTAAACCCAGAGTTTGATTGGATTTACAGGTTCTGGTGTTTCTGTTCTGGTTCTGCAGGACGTCAGAACCGCCCAGAGTCCGTCTCCTCCTCGTCTTCCTCAGTGGGATGAAGAGGAGCTGGAGGAGCAGCAGCTCCGGCTGAAGCTGCACCAGCTGACCCACAACATCAGCGACCAGAGCCTGAGCTCTGAGGAGGACGAGGCGGGCCGGATCCCCACCAGAACCAGGACCAGAACCAGGCTGGAGGAGGATCTGAAGGTTCGATCGGCTCCAGACGGAGAACATCCGGCATCATGACGTTTGTTTATCTCGTTTCTCTGACAGTCAAACAGAAAATAAAAACGTCCAAAATGTAATGAGAAAATTAAGCAGCAGTGAAATGTTCTGCTGTTCCACCAGTAAAACCAGTTCAGCCCAGTGTTTGACCAGCTACTGTGTCACTTCCTTTAGTTTTTAGAAAAAGTTACAGATTCAGACACTTAAAGAAAAACTTAAATTTATGTATTTTATGCCCAAAGTCAGTTCAGTTCAAATTCAGAAAAACTTCATTGATATAAAAGGTAAATTAAATAACTTCATAAATACAAAGTAGAACCACTTATTAATGTTTAAGCTGTTGAACTGTTTGTGCTGCAGGCCGACCGCCTCCCACTGAGCCCCGACACGCAGCAGCGCCCTCTGCTGGAGCCGCCCAGAACCGCCTGCAGAGGCTCCGCCTCCTTACTGCTGGAGCTGGAGGACAGAGTGGCTCAGGCGGCCGCCGACGTGCAGAGCGCCCAGAGCCAGGTCCGAACGGGTCGGAACGGGTCCGATAGGGTCTGAACGGGTCGGAACGGGTCCGAACGGGGTCCGAATGGGTCGGAACAGGGTCGAACGGGTCGGAACGGGTCCGATCGGTCCGAACGGGTCGGAACGGGTCCGAACGGGTCGGAACGGGTCCGATCGGGTCCGAACGGGGGCCGAATGGGCCGGAACAGGGT